ACCTCTTCCTGAAAATGCTGAAAAAGTCCGTCTGCAATTTAAGGCTCGTTAAGTAATATAAAGCAAGAAAGGAATTGATTTCGAAACAGAAAAATGCATTAAGTTAAAACTGCTAGTTTTGAAAAATCGAAGAATAAAAAGCACATGGTTTCTTCAATTTTCAGTGCCTTTTTTCTGTCCAGGTACGTCTAAATTTACTCAAAATTGGTATAAAATACTAGCTTTTTGGAAAATTGGAGTACTTCATTGGGCAAGTCGTAAAGACGCTGACTGAAAGATGATCCTCGAGAAGCTGTATCCAAACGGGCTGTCGCAGCAGGAGATGGAGTACCAGTACTGGAGCCAGATGCGAATGTCCTCTGACCCAGTGTCCATTCCGCCTCTTCAGAAAACCTACAAAACAGATAGAATTAAATTATACTATACTGATCATTATAAAAACGATAGGCTTGATGTAGCTGGAAGCAGTGCTGATATCAGGTAGAGAATGAGAGTTCTGCTTTCAAATGAGGCAACCAAATCCCTTTATTCATTTCGATAGTAAACTGGCCCAAAAAAAACCTTTCATCAACTGCTTCCACAGTAGCGTCAGCACATGGAGATCCTTTTTCCTTTGCTGATGCTGCTTCATTCTATAAATTCACATAGCGTTTAGAAAAATAAATTCATCTGAAACAAAATTTAACATCTATAACAAAGTTCTTGTCAGTTAAAATAAGCCATGTGCAGTTACGTTGAGAATTTTTTCAAAGGCTTGCTTTTTCAACTTTTATTATTAACAGGTCTGTAAAAAACTTCCAGAGCTAACAGTGAAAAAGAAATGAAAATCTAACCCGGATGTCTGTGCTAGTTTTTACAGTTACTTTTTCAACAATTTTAGAAAGGCTAATTTTTTTCCTGTGCTTGTGGGCAGTGCAGATGAGGTTCGAAAATGCATGATCTTAGTTTCGCACATTTGTTGTTAACAACACGCAGCTTAGACATTAAATATCAGTGTCATTTCGTGGAGTATTTTACTCCTCTGACAATGCACAGTTCATTCATGTACACCCCCATTCAACCATTTTACAACACAACAGAAGAGGCAGAATTTATAAGCAGCAAAATTATCATAACATTTATAAGAAAATCTCATGTTTTACCGTAAGCGAAGAGAGGAATGTGGAATTGCCGACAGTAAAGAGACCATCTTCTATGAAGCCTTCCTCCTCAATTGTATCCATGCGCGGTTTCGTATTCACCACCACTGTGTTACAAATAGCCATTGTAATAAAAAAGTCCATCAGGTTCTAAAAGGTGCAAAAAATCAATAGGGAAATGTATGTTTAATAAAAACAGGTCATATCAGAATATTATTTCGATCATGCGTTTTCGCAGCCAGTTATTACGAACGTTGGGTAGACGGCTCTCTGCACAAGGCACTTAATTAATGCATTACCAAACTTCTAATTCTTCTAATGATTATAGACGATAAAAATCTCGAACGTTTGTCCGCATTTGATTTTTATGTGCATATTGCGACTGACGTCAAACACAGAAACACCTGT